CTTCTCCATAAAGAGCTGAAGTTAATTTTTAGCACTGCAACCTTTATATTTTTACAGCTGGACGAACTGGTTTTATTAAATGTCACCTCCTGTCACCTTGTCCTCTACTTGCCCTGCAATTTCTGTGCTGCTAACCTATCTCTTCTTACTTTTTTTCTGTTTTATCCTGCTCACTCCATCACTTTACAAGCTCTGTTGGAGCAGAAGATGCACTGGATACAGTTTTGTAAACCTGTAGTGGTTCTTCCATGCCACTGTGCCCTGGACAAGGACAGGCTTGGCTTGTACAGGCTATTGGCTCTCAGTAATATGTAAATAAATCCACAGTTTGAAATATAGGAAAAATGTGCTATGGCAGGTGAAGAAGGAACTTTGCATGTTTGAAGTTGTACCTAAATTAAGTCCTTAATTGCTGTTAACCTTGAGATATTGTGGTTCACACTTGCGTTTTTCTAGCATAAATGCATCTGTGCCATGAAAATGAGCGCTGAAAGAGCTTGCAGGAAAGTCAGAGGTGTGTTGAATGGGGAAGGTAAGTATCTTGCTTTTTGCCACTAGGATAGGAAATATGGAATGTAATAATGAGCTCTTTCTTTCTTTGTGTTGCTTAAGTTTAATGATCTTGTTGCTACATCTAATGTTTAATCACATATTTAGCAAACACCATCAGTGGTCAGATAGCTACAGGTTGCTAGGTTCACACTAGGATTTACAAGGAAAGATCTGCAGCCTGAATAGTAATACCAGGAACCAATGTTAGTAATATCAAGATCCTGAAACAGAAAAAATATGCAGCTTCTAAACACTCAAGACAGAGAGGAGATCAGCTGATTAGTGGGTAATTAATGCCCCGGCTGCCCAGATGACTTGTACGCTTTGCTGAATGAACATGAGCCTTGGTGGGCAGGATACCCTGGTTTCTCTTGAAGCTCAAATGATTGCACCAAAACACCATAAATCCCAGTTGGAGGTGACACAGGACAGCTTGCCTGTGCACACATGAAAGCCCCGGGTGCTGCACTTACAGCCAGGCTCGAGTAATCGGTAGGACAGATGTAATGTCAATGCAGCGTTTGCATCCAGGTGACTCCAGTCGTGGAAGCAGCATCGGGCCACCTGCAGATGACGACGCACACCCTCGAAGGCAGGGTCCCTGTTCCAAGGGCAGCCAGGGGTTGCCAGGCTGTTGCTGAGGCACTAATGCCATTGCGATGATACATGGCACAAATACAAAACAAATAGCAAAACCTCCCTTTGGTACCTGGACTTCTGCTTATGTACTTTATGCAGGCAGAAAGCTGGATGGAGAAGGTGGAGCACCTGCCAGGGTGATCAGAGTCCCTTTGATACTAGGGTCCAGCTTCTGCTTTTGCTTTTGAATTTCTCTTTAGGGGAGAAATACTGACATTGTATTTTCGGTCTCTGAAAATCTGACCTTCACAAATCTTTTTTTTTTTTTTTTTTTAATTTTCAGATTTAAAATTATACATGTTTTTTAGCAGTTTCCTTTCTCATATTTTATTTTTATTTATTTTGGCTTAATAAGAACTGTGAAAATATTTAAACAGTAGGAAGGATTGTCTACCTAATCTTGTGAGATTTACATGACTGATTGTCAGTAAGAATTCAGCATTGTCTTTTGTGATCAGCCTGACTGATGTCCAAAGAATTAAATTATTTCTGCTGCCTTCCCATTTGCCCACTGAAGTGCAGCCCTTTTTCCTATTGTATAGCTGTCATAATCCACATTGAAGTGCTTGGCTGGCCCAACACTTTGTGCCTTTCTAGACATTTCAGGATGAAAACTCCCATTTTGCACCTCTGCCCTGTTCTTATTTGCATAGATATAACTTTGTGATTGTCCATAATACTATGTATATGATTTTACTGGAGACAGCTCGAGCTTGCTCTGTGCAACTGCCTTGTTCTTCTTCCAACCTTTGTTATCCACAATGATCAGCAGTTATTTTGTATGCATTTCCAAATCACTGATGATCTGACTACTGTTTAATTATACAAACCATCCCACTAAGCAATTTTAAATGGGACACAACTTTGGTTTTCCTGGATATAAATTTTGGCAGGTCGACCATTTGAGAGTGCTGTATATGGACCTCGGTATAGTCCACAAATGCATGTTGGCAAAATGACCCGTTTCTGGCTTCCCAAACTATCAGAGATGTCAGTCAACAGGGAAAAAGAAGCCAAATACCACCATGATCTTTTACCATCATAAAATTAAGCTGATCTCTTTCACTTGCAGAAAAGAAGTGTGTGTCTTTATTCTTTTTCCGTTTTTGCTGATTTGTCAAAAAGAAAGTCAACATTTACTCAAAGGAATGGAGAAGTGCACACCTTTCTGCTTAATCCAGGAAAGAAAACCAGCAGATATTTCCTCTTGGCTCAATCTGGTCTCTGTTTTTCCATTTTTGGCCACACCTATGTAAGACCTGGCTAATTTCTGCCCTGGTGCAGGTGCTATAAAGGACTGGCTTGTTTCCCAGTCCTGCCAGCTCTGCAGGGATGGCAGGTAAGATCAGTGCTTTTTAATCTTGTATCTGTATTTGACTGATTTGGTATTTCTGGTGTGGTTATTGGTGCATTCCATGGGTGAGCCCAAGGAGATGAGGACACAGTGTAGAGTGTTAGGAGCTGGTGGGCCTTCATACTTACTTCTCCCCCCCCCCTTATGTGAAATACACTTATTTTGAGAAGCAAGAAAAGACAGCTTTTCTGCCTCATATAGCAATACCCTGTGATATAAGATTGCAAGGAATAAGCAGCCTTCAATCTCTGTGAAGATAGTAGAAGAATTTCCACAGATTGTAAATGTAAGATAACCTGCCCCACTGTGAGAAGTTCATTAGTTCTTCCAAATTTTGTCTGCCTTTCCTGTTCTAAATAGTTAAAACATTGACTAAGTTACTGAAAATAAGTCTAACTGTAACCTTTTGGCTAAAGATCTCCTTTCAGGGAAGGCACTGTGCCGTTGTATATAACACTGATGAGAACAGATGGTATCACATTTCTAGTGTTAATGTGAAAAAGGAATAGAGAAAATTTCAGGGAACATCAAGAAGACTAATAGAGGTGGTCGAAGGCTGGAGGACCGGAGCTGGATGTAGCAGCTCATTTTGCTGAGTAACAAGACAGAAGGGCAGAGGGGGATGTGTGGGGTCTAACCTCCTTCACACCAGCCACCTGAGAAGGTCCCTCCTGAGCAGGACACTGGGACTCTGCCTTCTTCCAGCGCTCCTTCCCCATCGCCTCCATCACTGGAGCCTGAACTATACTTGGCTCCCTCCTTGGCAGTTTCTCAGCCCAGTTTACTGGATGTCCTGCACCACAGGGATGTCCCTGTGTCCTGCCAACACCTACAGCTACAGCCCTCTGCAGCCAGAGTCCCACATACAGACCTGATCAGAGGAGTGCTGTATTTTATTCCTGCATCCTGAAAGAAATATTCAATCCAAACCTGTCAATCTCTGATGATGCTTCAGTGAAGCCCTGCCCATTCAGAAGATTTATGTTGCTTTTCTCTCTAGGCATAAACCCAAGAATTACACTTTTAGGATCCATCATCTCTCTCTGCTTAGTTGGGGCAATGGACTCCTCATTAAATAGTAAGTTTCTGTTTCTCCTTCGGCTGCGACTGAGCTTGAATGGGTGTGAGTCAAAACTCAGTCTGAGTTCCTAGTTAGATATAGCTCTGATATAAATTTGAAATATCCTGTAGATTGGCCACTAACAATGAAGTCAATACCTAAGAAACTTGTCTAAGGAAATTGCCTATTTAACCAACAGATCTTCCAAGCACATGATCGTAATTTTATGACAGAGAAACTGAGTCAGAGATCATATATTTGGCTTCTTCTATGCATTTCCTTTCTCACAGGGAAGAATAGCTTCAAAAAGAAGCATGAAAAATAGCTCCATAAAAGCCTCCCAAAGCCATCAGAACCAATTCTGTGACATGAATAATAAGCTACCGCTTTACAGTCACTTCTTGTCCTGTGACTCTCAGGACCTCAGCAATGGGGTGAGGCAGATGAGCGAGAGAAGCACAGATAAAGGTGTCCAGGTAGCACTAAACACGCAGTGGGAACTACATGTAAAGCGAACCAGTGCACCTCAGCACCCAACAATGGCATGGGATGTGTAGCTCCTGGTGTACATTGCAAAGTATCCTCAATTTCTGCTTTTTATTCTTTTTTTTTTTTTTTAGTAGACAACTCAGAGGTGCTATCAGAGTCATCTCTTCTGAGCAGCATTAGTGAAGCTAAGAAGCTGGTAGACATAGCATATTTGCATGCCCGAAAAAGGTGAGTCCTTGTTGCATGAGGGCCCCAACATTATAAGGAAATAAGAGAAAACATGTGTGTGTTTCTTCTGTTTTCCAATGCATATTTGTTATGGAGATGCCTTTGTTCAAGGGCATTCCTAAATCTTCTGCTCAGTTTGGCTGGATTCTAGTGTCCCATCCCCAGGGCCACCCTTCATGACCACAGCTATTGCCTCCTCACCTACACCACCATAGGCGCCTCTCAGCAGCCCATAGTGGTCACACTGAATGCATGTTGAGTCCTCTCCTAGCTGCTGAAGTTCTGCCCCTCTCCAGAAGGACCACAGTCATGAGACAGTGCAGCACTCCGTAACAAATACATTTCAGCAGAAGGCAGAACCCAAGTATTGTTCCAAAAGGCTGGTTCCAGGCAGCAGGATGCTCTGGGGAGGAGAGTCTCTCCACCCACACTACAGAAGGTTTTTCATTGTGTAAGAAAGACCCATGGGACCAGGAAGAGAAGCAACAGGACCAAGGTTGTCTCTCTGGTCACAGAACATATCTCATGACATGCTAAATATAAACTTTTATTCAGTCACTAAGTTTTCCACTGATCTAGCTTTTCACATGGCCTAACAAAATTTATTGTGACAAGGATGTAAGGCAAACTTGAAATAGGGGATCACAATGATTTGTTTGCCAAAATCTGTCTGAGATGATGTGCAAAGCTGATGAGCAGCCAGCTTGTGCTAGGTGAGCAGAGCTTGCCTGGAACCCAGCAGTGCTGTCATGTCTAAGTACAGCCAGCCTAGCATGGCAGAGGAGGTCTGATTTCAGAGAAAGCACTTCATGGGACTCTTTTATGTTCAGCTTAAAGAAAAAACTAGAGGAGAAGGTTGCCAACCCAATGGATTTCCTGAAGCACTTAAAGGACCCAGTAGGAAAAACCAGATCTGCAATCCGTGCTGCTGATTACTTGGAAACTACTTTGAAACTCCTCAAAATAAAGCTGCGTTTGTCTGGGAAATGGAGATTCAATGTTACAGGTAATGTGGTTTAGACCAAAAAGTCTTACAAACAGCTAAGAGCAGAAAAATCTACCACAGCAGGAGTGTCAGAGAGCAGCTCTGCCACAATCCAAATAACTGGTGATAAAACCCTTCCCCACAACAACCCGGGTGAATAGACTTTAAGCATGCTCAGAGGCAGACCAGACCACCTGGTGTTTTAATCATCATCTTTGGCAGTGCCTGCCTTATATCTTTGGTGATTAAAACCAGACTAACAATAAGTGTAATAAACCTGGAACAAAATGCACTGAATGCCAGGAGACGACTGAGAACAGAAGCCCATCTTCCACTTCGGGTCCTCAGTCCCACCTGCCCAGGTGGTACCACTCTGCATGCTCATAGTTTTGTTTCCAGTCCAGGGTTAAATGTTGCTGGTGGTGATGCTCCCCATATTCCCCGGGAAAGTTGTTCCATGCCAAGCCAGTTTCCATAGCCCAGAGGTGAGAGCTGATCCACAAAAGGGTTTAGGCACCAAATTAACAATTCAAATCCAGATGTTATATATCCACAGCTCTGACTCAGCTGACTCAAACGTTGACCTAGAATACTGAGAAGCTAAAATAAAGATAAGAGCAGATGTTATTTTGCATGGTTTCTCTTGCAGACCTACTAGACAGAAAACAGAAGGAGATGATTTCCAAAGAAACCGGCTGTGACTATCAGATTCGTTCCATTAAATGCCCAAAGCATGACATTTACCGGACCATTACTGGGGAGTGCAACAACAGGTAGGGTTTGTGTGTGGACAAGGAGAGTCTCAAGTCTGTACTTTGACACAGGATAGATGACTTAGTCATTTGTGTACTTTTCAACACAGCAAGAAGAGTGAAACGCTTGTTTTAGTGGTGCCTATAGAGGTGTTTCATTTCTATCCATGTCTGGCAGGAAAAAGATGTCATTTCTTGAAAAACTCAGATTTAAGCCCATTGCCCTCCATGTGCTGCTTTGGATGAAGGAAGGGATTTCTTAGGGTGGGGGGAGGTGAACAGCTGAGGAAAGCAGATTTTGGGGCTGTGACAGCCAGTCTCTTACTCAGCTTGAGGCTCCAGGAAATTACCCCTCCACTCTTGTGTAGCATGGATAATACTAATTTCCCCAGGCTGCTTCATATGAAAATATTCTGCTGTCAACATATCTGTGCGGCTACTGTTCTGATGCATAGGGATGGGAAGTAAATAACACTTTAATTCTTGGCTCTTCTAGCTTCGTGTACTGTGTATCCTTAATCTGAGTTCTTCAGCTTTTTGCACGTGGCTTCCCTCCTGGCTCGTACCTGGGATCATACATCTGTTTACTTCCTTGTTAGCTCTTTTTTTTGACCAGAAGATGGCAAAATTTCTAGCCTAATACTTGGAAGTCGAGGCTCTCTGTCCTGTTCTGCCATAGATTTGCTGCCTGGTGTTTTAACTCCAGCCCCCAAGTCTGAGTGGGGCTTGTGTCCGATGTGCATCTGGCATGAAACAGATGTGCCAGGTGTGAAGACATAGCACAACTCTGCAGCACACGTGCAGGGAACTCACACTCATGGTGCTAGTGTTACAGTTAGTCTGTACCTTTACCCACGGACCCCAGAGCCTTCAGCTCCCGAAAGACAGCAGTGTCCATGCTGAGTTAAACTCAGAGTTGGATTGTCCTTGGACTTGCTAATTTAGTGGGCTGCCAGTGAGATAACAAGGCACTCAGAAGCAAGGGAACTCTGTGATATGTTCCAAGGATCTTCCTCAGCTTGAGGTGCACACCGTAAGATAGCACTTGAATATTTTGCAAAAATCTGCCTGCAAGGACAGTAATAGCAATTAAAACAAGAGCTGTGGTAGTACTGTGTTCTTAATATTTGATGGAATTTCTTCAGCTATGATGAGGTAATTGTTCTAGGGCATGCTCTTATGTCACAGCACACTGCTGTAAATTCTGGGTATACCACTCATTTTTCAGTATAGACAGGCATTATCCAGGTTTTGTGGATTTAAGAGCTCAAACACAGAAAGTTGCTGTGCACCAGCTGATATTCCATAACTGGTTTCACCAAAATAACCTGTGCTTCCGTGTCCTTAGGGCCACAGATCATTGTCTCAATCAGCATTATTGTTCTTCTGAACAAGTGTTTCTGAGTTTACTGATTCAAATTCTTTGGCACAGCATGAAGCAATGTAACAAGTGGGCACAGCTGCAAATTGCAGTTTGAGAGGTTCTGTGCTAGACGTGGGGAAAAACTTCCTTAAAGGGCAGCCTTCATCCTTGGAAGCCTCCAGCTCTCACCCAAATGAAGGCATGGCCACCCTGATCACTGGTGATGGCCACGTGAGACTGGTTTTGTGGGGAGCAGCAGTGGAGACAGAGATGCTGCAGAGATATAAATGCCAAATAAAATTAATATAATGGCATAAGGAATCTTTTTTTAATGTCAAAAAGTTCATTTTTCTCTGCGGTAATAATCTTGGTATTGTTTACTTCTCAATGTTTTCTGGCTATCACCTCTGTTGCCAGACTATTCAGGCATGGATTAAAGGGCTGGAAAATGTTAGTCTCTACAAGCCTGTTCATTTCTGAAATAATACTGCCGTTTGCTTTTCTTCTTGTGATGTTCCAGAAAGCGTTCTTACCTGGGGTCCTCAAACCGTGCATTTGCTCGCTGGCTCCCTGCAGTGTATGAAGATGGAGTGTCTGTTCCCAGAGGAGCAAGTGAAGGAAAGCTGTACAATGGATTTCCACTCCCGCTGGTGAGAACTGTTACTCTTGTCCAGATAACAGTAGTGGACAATGACCTCACTGCATCCATCAGAAACAAAGCAGTGGCAACATCTAGGATGTAAATTGCTTGATCCTTCCCTCTGAAGTCAGGTGCTAATTTGAGGCTTGTTTTCTACAACTGAGCTATGGCTTAGGGTGATATTTTTTGTTGGAGACAGACATGAACAAAAAGGTTGTGAATACTTCACTAAGCAAAGCATGGACAACTTTCAGAAGTGTGCATCCCAAGGTTTGATGCAGACAGCAGCACAGTGTGCTCAGATACACCAGGGTGTTTATACAAACCATAAGGGCTGGCTGTTCCTCAGCCATCTTCTTGACCTTCTGGATGTGTGCACATACATCAGTTTCAGCCGTAAAAGTCTTTCCATGAAGTTGGACTTGGCTGAACGACTGTGGAGTCGAGAGGGTGCTACTTATCATATCTGTTTTGATAGAGCTGGGGCATGGTGTGGGTCTTTTTAATGTCGTAATTAACCCTTGTGAGCTTATATCTAAGATCATGTTATGAATGATCTCATTGTGGGTGTTATGCTGAGAGGTAAATTCGCCGTGGTAGAGATAGTCACACACATTTTCATTTTGATTTTCTGCAGGTCCGAAAAGTGTCTAATGAAATTGCTCACACAGCCAATGAGAACGTCACTCAAGATCAAGAGCTCTCTCTTGTCTTCATGCACTGGGGCCAGTGGGTCAACCATGACATAGACTTAGCCCCTTCCAGCGGTGCAGGAGCTAGCCCAGAGCTCCACTGCGAGACCAGTTGTGCCTTCAAGCCCCCTTGCTTCCCGATTATGGTACCCTGACTTTCCTTCTATGCCATGCTATCTTAAGACGGTAAAAATAAACCCACATGATTTTCTGAGGCATTGTTTCTGTTTGTTTGCTTTAGTTTCCCCCTGATGACCCACGGATGCTGAGGTCAAACTCTTGCATGCCATTTGTCCAGTCGGCGTCCGTGTGCAATCCCAGGACGTTTACTCGTGAGCAGATCAACGCCGTGAGCTCGTTCATCGATGCCAGCACGGTGTATGGCAGCGAAGACTCTGTGGCAAAGAGTATTAGAAATCAGACAAACCAGCTGGGTTTGATGGCTGTGAACCAGAATTTTACTGATGCGGGACTGGAATTATTGCCCTTTGAGAACAAAACAAAAAGTGTTTGTGTTCTCACCAATGAGAGCGTGAGCATCCCCTGTTTTAAAGCAGGTAAGGTGCATCTGTGGAGTAGTTTTCAGTGGCCCAGAAAGTCAAAAAGGATCATTATGGTCAAGTGTCTGATGTCTCTTTATTTTTGTATCAGGCGCTGCAAGATATGATTGTGAAAGGTGAAAGAGAGGGGGACCCTCCCCCAAATTAAAAAAGAATAATAATTGAACAATAATTGTTTAATTAAACACACAAAAATTATTTTGTTTTAATTTCCCAGAAGTGTTACACCAAATCATCCTCCCTTTAAAAAGCCTTTTCAAAGGTAGGAGAAATTTTCAATAGAATAACTACCAGTTTTAAAACTTCCCAGTGACTTTTTTTTTACCCTCCTACGTAGAATTCACCATTCAGTTTTTGACTCAATCAATACTAACAATTAAATGCTCTTAATCAATTTAGTTAACTCTCCTTGGTACCACATTTAATATTTCAAATATCCCAACCTACGTCAGAAGACAAGTCTAGAAGTTTGTCTAAAATTTAAACAAGCTGATGACTCAAAACAGAGAACTTTTTAAAATGGGAAGTGATCTATCATAGGTGTAACATTAAAAAAAATTTAAATGTGAAGCCTGCAAAGTCAATCATAACAATATAGAGTGTTCCCATTGCACATAATTTTCTCATTCTTTGCACAAGAGAAGAGCTCCTGGCTCAGTGAGGAGATAATTGGTGCTTCTTCCATCAGAGGCTCTTCACTGCATCCCCTCCAGTTTTCTCGCAGCATCTCAGCTGAAGGCACATTCACAGACCTCTCAGAAGTGTTTATGACTTGGGTGAACTGAGACAAATTTTCAAAACCAAACATTCAGAGCACTGGTTGTATCCTGTGTGTCACATCCACTGCTTGTGAGGACAGCAGACATGAGATTTTTCACAAAATGAGACACTTACAGCTGCTTCACAACCATGCACAATATAGTTTAAATTGCCCAAAGCCTCTTCTCCAATGGTTTTAAGTGATTTGGACAGAGAATGTTTTGTCTGTGCTGGAAATCTGGTATGAATGATGACTGCTGGGAAGATAACCATGAGCATTACTGCCAGTAACGCTGACTATCAGTTGTTACTCGTCTGTCCTAACACAAAAACCTGCTGCTGAAATAAAAGGCAATTTTCAAAATTCCTAAAATATTTTCATTTGTAGGTGACAAGCGGGTAACTGAAAACCTGGGACTTTCTGCACTGCACACTGTCTTTCTACGAGAACACAACCGTCTGGTTACAGAGCTGAGGAAATTAAATCCTCACTGGGATGGAGAAAAGCTTTACCAAGAGAGTCGAAAGATTGTAGTTGCCATAAACCAGGTATTGATCACTGCTCTCTGTTTTTCCTCTGCGTACTTAGGAATGGTTTTTCCTCCAGGAAAAGGAGGAAAACTGTGCTTTGCAGATCTGGTGCAGTTATTTGTGGGAGTTGAAAATTGTGAATAAGGATGGGCCATCTGAACAGCACAGGTATCCAGAGCTTTTTTATCTATTATTTTAACAATTTATCAATTTTTTTATT